CCCTCAATCGCCTGAATTCTGCGTCAGAACAGTCAAGAAGACCGGTGCAGGCACAGTGACTGGGCCAAACGCGCGTCACAGGTGTCAGAAAGAGAATACAGCAACGATTGGATTCCTCCCTGCGTTAGAGTACCATAGAGACCACATTAAGGGAGAGGTGTTGTAGACGGGCCCTCAGTTCTTAGAGGATTAAATTAGTCTGCCAATTGGCAGCCTTCCAGGACACAGCTTTTAACGCACCATGATAGTTTAAAAGCCTGTCCGATTGTCCATAGTGTGGAATATATGCTTAGCGATGAAGGGCACAGTACGCAGCGTCGACCTCACTTTCCAGGGCACCAGTTCCTTATCGGAACTATCTGGGGCGGAGGTAACTGGAACGACATTAGCTTGCGCCTACGCGTGCCGCCACATCACCATTTGTTGTTGGTTCATAGCCCAACTGGGGTGTGTTGCATCCTGATCTGCTTCATCACAACTCCCATGGCCAGTTATAGGGGTCCACAATTGAACGGTATCGACATTCTTGATGAGTTTGCAATGAAAACTGTAACTGCTTGATAATTTCACATCTCAAAAACCGTTTCCAAGATTCGAATTGCTGAATTATTGTTGCCCGATGTCGGCCCTTCAATTTAAGCGGATAAAGTCATCGGGGTTTCTGTCCATATTTCGTTTGATCGATACCACAGTAGGACGCCTTGGAAAAACCTCTTGACAAACCAATGTTAATAGTTATTGGCTCAATAATGTTGATATTCCCCGTCCTTTCTTGTCTGTCTTGCATAGAAGTGGTGACATGCAAAAGGTGACAACAGAAACCATAGGAGTAAATCATCTGAGTAATGTCAACCACGATGCCAGGAAGATTGGGATGTCCCTTTTCGGATTTACTGCCGCTAGCCAACCTGCCTTCGGTCCTGTAAGCACAGTGGTTTGCAGTCTTCCCCGGTTTGGTCTACTTAAAGAACAGGAACTATATAGCTGTGCACAAAATAAACCAAGATGCATCAATAAGTTTAGCGGATGTAAGTGCAGGATTAGCTGTGAGGGGTTTGTAGTTACTAGGCCCAAACGAAGTGCACTTGTGAACGCCTGTCGTGACTAGCTCAAGTCGAATTGCCTTTTGGGAACGCTTGCAGCTTGCGGCTTCTGCGACTGCCAATCACAGGCCGACTCACACAGGACATCATGTGACGACGGCCGAGCAGACATCACTTCAGACGCCGTCCGCTGACTCGCGCTTGCGCGGTC